CAGTAGTCAAAGGAAACCGCCGAATACCCTAGACCTTTGATAAGCAGTCTTTGCAAGCTGATGGTTCTATTTCAAGTGTTCCTCGAACTTGATGACCCAGCACCCCAGTAGTCTATCAACCAACAAGTTCTGTGCGCGTGATTGTTGCTTGGATTGATTCATACTACCCCCTTTTTGGTGTGATTTGTTTGACACATGTTGACACCCAAGTCCCCTTGCGCGATAGGATCTGGCATCCATTGCTTCCTTGCAGGGTCTTAGCATGGTAACGACCCTGGTCCCTCGGTCAAGGAAGTGGATGGAACATGATCTGGATGAGTTGAGTGGCTTTGGGTCTACATCTTTGGATTTAATTGGACATCATGTACTCCATCATATGAGCGTGTCAATATATAAATATAAATATAAATATATATATAAATACGGTATAAACATGTAATTATAATGTATATTACATATATATATAATTATAATTACATAAATGTATCATTACATATATTGCAATCTGTGAATAGCAAGGGAAATCCACCCTAATTTCATCCTGCATCAACCCCATCACTGCCGTGGCCGTGTTTGGTTGGTGCTTGGCTCTTCGCGGGCCCACTGAGGATACGCTGTCCACAGAGACTGTGACACACCTGGAGGCAGACAGACAGTTTGGGTTTCAATATTAGGACTTGCTCTATGTGATTTGAAAAAGACATGTAATGTTACTAAAGCAATAGTAAACCATCCTCAAAATAACCGTACATGGGTTGTATAAACCATCCCCAAATGCTAGGTGAATTATTGGGTTGCCCACTTTGTACAGACGAATACGAATAATTACTTGTTTGATTCTATTGCAAGGAGTTGACATGCAAACGTTGATTGCAATTGCAATGTGTTCAAGGACTCTTGCGATTACCGGAGTCCAAAGTCTATTGTGGACCAACAAAAGCACAAGCAGCCGAATATGGAATTGAGTAAAACGATACATGTCATTCCATGGCTTTTTTGATTTAACGTTGCAGCAAATGAAGAATGGCAAACAACTGCTCTCGCTCTCTTTTTGTGTCCTTTTCCGATGGGTGTAGAGTTTACTATAACGGGGGTGTGGTTATTCCTTTTTGTAAAGGCAAATGGCATTACTTTTCTTTCCTTTTCTTCCCCGCATGAAAGTCCTGGGATACATCCCTGTTTCCTCCATTGTTTGAAAGTCTTCAATGAATGTAACATTTACTGAGATAAGTGGTGGGTGAGAGAAAGTAGTGTTCTTCCCCTTCTTATGAAAGTAGCCAGCAGGTGTCAAGTCTAACAGCATTTTGCTTTGTCAGAGTAAGTAGCATCCTTTTTTCTTTTCCGTTGAAAATCTTCAATGAATGTGAAGTTTTACGAGGCCGGTGATTTTCTTTCGTTATATGACGGCAAGAAAACAACTCTATATTGCTTGAACTGCACATGGCTAAGCGAGTTCCCGCGCGGCGTAGTTCACATTCTGCAGGTTGTCCAAAACCAGACAACAGTTCCACATATGAAAACACAATCATATAATATACATATTTAGTACTTAAAAAGATGGTCAAAGATGCTACTTAGGATGCTCCTAGATACTATCCACAACATATACACAATATTTACATATTTACATGATATTGACTTATATACATCATATTGATTTACATCAAATATACATCATATACTGTATACATCATAGATTTACATCATATATACATCAAATATACGTACATCATATATATATATCATACAATACTTACATCATATAGATTTGTATCATATATATATGTATATCATACAATAATTACATCATATATATATATTACATCTAATATATTTATATGTATCATACAATAATTACATCATATAGATTTGCATCACACATATATATATGTTTATATCATACAATACTTACATCATATAGGTTTACATCATATATATATATATATCATGAAATACTTACATCAAATAGATTTGCATCATACATATTTATATATCATACAGTATTTACATCATATATTTATATTTGTCATACACTACTTAAATCATATAGATTTGCATCATATATATATGTATATATATATCATACAATACTTACATCATATAGATTTGCACTATACATAGTTATATATATATACATATATCATACAATATTTACATCATATGTATTTACATCATATATATATATCATACAATACTTACATCATATAGATATACATCATATATATATATATATCATACAATACTTACATCATATAGATTTGCATCATACATATATGTATATCATACAATACTTACATCATATAGATTTGCATCATACATATATATATATATTTATATCATACAATATTTACATCGTATATATATATATACATCATATATATATATTTCATACAATACTTACATCATATAGATTTACATCATATATACTTATATATCATACAATATTTACATCATATCTATTTACATCATATATTTATATATATCATACAATACTTACATCATATAGATTTGCATCATACATATATATATATCATACAATATTTACATCATATATATATACATCAAATTTATATATATATATATTTCATACAATACTTACATCATATAGATTTGCACCATACATATTTATATATATATATCATACAATATTTACATCATATGTATTTACATCATATATATATACCATACAATACTTACATCATATAGATTTGCATCATACATATTTTTTATATATATCATACAATACTTACATCATATAGATTTACATCATATATACTTATATATCATACAATATTTACATCATATATATTTACATCATATATTTATATATATATATCATATAATACTTACATCATATAGATTTGCATCATACATATTATATATATATCATACAATACTTACATCATATAGATTTACATCATATATATATATATCATACATCATATACATCATATACACAATGCTGGCCACCAACCCCCCTTCTGAGGCACACCTCGAGAGCCTCCAGGTGCACGTCAGCGAAGCGCCGCTGCGGCGGATGATCAGCTGCTTGCGCCTGGAGAACGGAGGCACCACGGGACGCCGGGACACGCGGCGGTGAACCTAGGAATTCCCAAGAAAGAGCTGGTTGGATGAGGATGATGGGAAAATATGGGAAAATATGGGAAAATATGGGACAATATAGGAACATGTTGGAAAATCCGTGAACATCGGGAACAAAACCACACTATTTGAGGTGGAAACATGTGGACACATGTTGATTTTGTGGCGGCAAAGATTGTCCAAATGCTGATTCACTGAACGTTGCTGGTTCAAAATTACCACTGCAATTTATTTGAACAAATGGGGATGAGATCGACAAGATGGGATTAAATGAAGTTACATAATTAATATAAATTATTAATCACAAAATATGTGATGGATTACGTATGTAGCCATTGAAAGTTTGGGTTTTAAGAATCCAAATATGGGGATATCGTCAAAAAAAATCCGATTCATTGGGATCAAATTTGCCACAGGAGAAAGGGGGGTTGACCAGTTCTATCACCTGCAGCAAATGACAAGAGCTGATTCACCAATCTATTGGATCAAAAACATTATCAAAACTTGCTGGCTTGCGGGATTCTCTCCCAGCAATCAGATCATGGTTCATTGTCCTATCAATGATGTTTTTTTTCATGTATGGATGGTTTTTCTACTAAACCAATGTTGTTGAATTTCTAGATCCATTGAAAAAAATATGTTCCACTCAGAAATGGACATCTTTTCCCAATTCCCAGGGAAGGACCTCAACGAGGAAAACGATGCCTTCAGTGTGGAGGCGCTGTTGTTATTCCAATGGCACCAGGGATCCACGGGGATTTCCATACGAAAACACTGGAAAACATGGGAGACCTCTTGGGATATGAATTTCTGGGAGAAACCCATACTGGTTGGTGGTTTGGAACATGGCTTGTATTTTCCATTTCATATATGGGGTAATTAATCCTTCCCATTGACTAATATTTTTCAGAGGGGTTGAAAGTTGAAACCACCAACCAGCATATATGTTTTTTTTGGACTTAACAATCGTCAGTTGTTGGTGATGGTGAAGTTTTGAGATTGACAGTGATTGAGCCACAAAGGTGGGGAACATTTGAAGTCCTGAAGCCTGCTTCTTTTCTTGGATATCATGGATTCGATGATTTGACTCAGCGCCAACTGAGCCCCAACTTATAGAGGTTGGGGATGATCATTCCTGGAATCGTCACGAAGGGCCACATGATACGAACCCCAAATGACCCCAACTTGTATGTTGGCCGACATGTTATTACCCACACTAGGTTGGGTTTTCCACTTCCAGACTATATAGTTATCAATCAGAAGAAGTGGTAAAGGTAGAATCCCAGAAATCAGTTTGAGTCCCAGGGTTTGCTAGCCTTGAAATAGAATGAAATACAATCCATGGTTCCTTTTGGGATCTTTTGGGCATCCAAGCAGTGGGAGCAGTTGCCAGGGTCAAACTACTATTCCTTGCATTTTAGGATGGTCGCAGCACACTTCGGAGGGTTTTCTCTCCTTTGCCTTGAATAAATTGGTAGAGGTGAGGTATGATAATGAGAAATTGCATGGGTGTCTCCATACATGTGGGATACTTATACCTTAAATGCCCCGTTACTATCATCTAATGGGGAAACTGATGATCAAGTATGATCAAACCCACAGAAGGCGTTGGGATCACTTGTTGTTGCCGCCACCTCGCGAGCTCAATGCTGTCCAGATGATGCCCGATAAATGTGGGAATCCAGGCATGTTAAGAGGATGCACCAGTCCCGTTTATAAACCCTCAGATTGGTCCTTAATTGAGATAGGACCTTCATTTTCCCTATAGCTGCACCTGGAAAGAAACAGTTTTGAGATCAGGCATGCCTACCTAAGACCTAAGACAAGAACATGTTGGAAACAGACGTGCCAAAAAGTGGGTGTTACGATTACCATTGATGCAAAACCATTCGAAATCCATCAAGTCCAACAAATTGTGCAATGGCATGTCGCAGCGATTGGCCGGAAGATGGTGCCTTGTCACATTGTGGATCAGGATGTGGATGAAAACTGGCGGAAGCAACCCGGAAAAGTGGGAGGAAATCACAAGCAAAACAGCATTCCTCTGAGGTATAGTATCGATACTATATAGGTGTAACTTGACGATTTATAGTCATATTCATGTACAGGACTTTCTGTATGATGTCGTGTTTAATCCATACCAAGCTTATCTATGCTTATCTCCCTTTCACACTTCAAAGCACTATTAACTGAGACTGAGAGCACTGAATTTCTTTGTGGTAGGACATATTGGAGCCATAGGTACCAGCCAGTTCATACATTTTGGATGATTCCCTAAAGATGTCCAGTACGAGGATCATGTTCAAAGTTCCAAAAGGATGCTGGATACAGTTTCTTTGGTGATTCTTTGGGTTCTTAAAGGTGGCATCTCAGGTTCGGTGACACTTCAGTCGTGCGAGCTGGCAAAATGAGCCCACATTTGGGATCATTTGGGTGTGTCTGAAAATAAAATGGCGGCATAGCGGCATAACCCCCCAACATTGCAATATATTGCATTTTTTCCCCTGGGAAAATGGTGCCCGAAATTTTCCGATCTATCCCAGGTCCGGTCTTGCTGCTATTGCTCGCCAGAGGCGCGTAGCCAGGGAAATGTTGATGGTTTACTGCTATATATATAATATTTAATAGACATTAATAAATAAGATGAACCATCCAATTCGAGATGCATTATCAATGTTTATGGCATGCATTTCTGGCAAGTCATTGGGGATGGCTTATATTGGGTTTACCACATTAAGAGGGTTGTCAACCATAGAGGGTTCAGTGCTAGCAGGTGGAAGATGACACAATGAAATTACTGTAACAGTTCATCAGGGGGGATTTGACAATCAACAAAGTGTTAAGTACCTAGACTCTTGAGTCGACATGGAGACTCTCCCAGGTGGATGGTTGCATAAGCACATTCTTCAGTTTCACCAAGGCCCATATTCACCCCATGTTAGGTGTACACAATGGAGGTGCATAGATTTCTTGTTCTCCAAACCAGCTGTTTTGCACTCTTCAGCAGGGCGGGCGATGCTTCATTCACTAAGGAAGTTGAAATGTTCCTTTTTTCACAGTGTCCTATGTTTGTCTATATATTCCGGGGGGCCCTATGTCTGGTCATTTTATATGACTTTATATGTCCACATATGTCCATCCATAGTATGAGATGAGTCCGGGATGAGTGACCCCAAATTGAGTGAACTATTTTTGGACTGCAGACCTCAATCATTCAGGGATGATTGTCATCATATTGATCCATTTCTACTCATACTCCAGGAATTTGCGCTGGACGTGTTTTGGTTGATCATTGTCGATCTATTCTTACTTCTGACGTGAATGTTGGATAATTTTGGTATATGTTGGTTATGTTTGGGTTTATGTAAACCATTAGGTATGTGTCAAAATCATCACCCCAAAAATAGATGGTCTAATTATCTCTATATATAAATGTATATCTAGACTGGATCGATAACAGAACATATACATAACATGTATACTGTATACTAGTATATATATATACAATTATATACATAGTAATACATAGATAGAGAATACACACAGATTTATACTAGCAATAAATCACCTCTATGTGGGCAAAATATTTCTTGATGTCCTGCATGATTTCCCTTATTGGACAGGCCTGGAAGACGTTGCCATCCACGTCTTGCATCGTTGCCTGGAATCGGCTCAACGCCCAGAGTCGGCAGCGTGGTTGAAGCGGTTGAGAGATTTCGGGGGGTACGGAACTACCCTTTGGTAAACTAACATAGCTATAGAAAATCACCATTTTGAATAGGTAAATCAACTATAAAGGTTGTATTTTCAATAGCTATGTTAAATTACCAGAGGGTATCTGATATCCAAGAATCATGAGGATATGAGGGTTCAGATGGTAACACAGAGCAATTGTGTCTAGAATGAGGATGTAGCCAAAGATCACGCGGTTGATCTATTTCAGAATGGCGTGAGGAAACAACCACATTCAGGGTCTCTGAGCCTGTTTCCATTGGCTTGCCTTCGGGCGAGATTCTATCTGATTCTAAGTGGGTGAGAGCCCCAGAACTGACGCTATAAGGTTTCTTCTTATACGTTTAAACGACTTTCCGGTTTTGTATGTGTTGCTCTTCCATGATACCCCACCAGTGTAATGCTGATTTTTGTTCATATTGTACAAAAAGATACATGTCCATGAGTAGGAACTAATATCTGCAGTGTTTTGGCGACATAAACCTGATACAGTAAAGATACGGTCGCGGCCAAATCTGGCCAATTCGTCAGGCACATTTGCATTCCGAGCGCTGCTTGGAGTGCCGTGGCCAATGTTTGGTAGATGGTTAGGATCCTTCGACATCATCCCCAAATGCTTTGTTGAACAGCTTTGGGAATCATGATTTGCCCAAATTATGACTGGATATGGTTGGCGAGTCGTTACATGAATCATGAAAAAAACTACCCAAAAAACATTAGTTTACGTAAACGGCTTTCAGTGGTGAGTCAGCTCATGATGGGTCAACATGGCGGTCACTCCCAGGTATTTGCAGACGGCTTATTGGCTTCGCATTTCTTAGGGGCATATGTTGAGGGGTTGAGGTCAAATTTGCAGGAACCCCCGAAGAGTTGATATTAAAATCATGTAAATATCCGCGGGTTTCCAGCATTTGTGTCTTGAACTAATGACCCCAGGGTATATTTTCCTACTTCAGATTTCTTTTGAAATGTCCGTTCAATAAACCCATGTCTCCAGGGAAAAATCCTGAGGTTATCCATGGCCAATTCAATTAAAAAACACCGAAAAAGTCTGAGGACCACAGCAACTTGTCCACGACGTCCAGAGGCATCTGTGTGGCTTGGAATCTTTGGAAGGTAGACTTGGCAGCTAGAGTTGCAACGTTGGAAGGGGACCCAACAAAAAATCTCTAAACTTTAGCTGAAAGAGGGAAGCCCAAAATATCAGTATCACATAGATAGAACTTGACATCCGTGTGTTTAGCCATCCACTGCAAAGGATTTTGAAGGATTATATATATAATTATATATATACATATGATTTATTTATATATATACATATGATATATATATACATATGATACAACTAAATATATATATATATAATGATATATATATAATATATAAATATTTACATAATTTATTTAAATAATATATATATATATACATAATTTATGTACATAATATATATATATATATACATATTATTTATATATGCGTAATATGTATATATATATATATACATAATACATATATATATACACATAATATATATATATACACATAATATATATATACACATAATATATATTATATACACACAATATATATATATATACATAATATATATATATATATACAAATAATATATATATATATACATAATATATTTAATATATATAAACATAAAAGATATATATATATATACATACATAATATATATATATATACATAATGTATATATGTACATAATATATATATATACATACATACATAATATATATATATACATAATTTATGAACATAATGTATATATATATATTTACATACACAATACATATATATACATATACATACACAATATACATATATATATATACATATTATTTATACGTATACTATAATATATATATATATATTATAGATATAATGTAATATATATAGTCTACATATTATATTACATACATTTGATATTTATATATATATTATATAATACATATTATATATAATATAATTTGTATTGTATAGAATATAATTTATATTGATTATATATAATATATATAATTTAATATAACATAATATATAAAAAAATATAATATTATATTATATTATATGATATGTAATATAATATAATGTAATGTAATATAATGTAATATAATATAATGTAATATAATATATAATATATTATATTGTATATTGTATATATAATATTATAGTATCATATATTGTATATATATATATATATACAACCGTTTCGACTCTGCAGATCATTTGACTTGTGCATCGCATCAGCCTAAGTCTCGATGCTCATGGGGTCACTAAGTATAAATAGTTTGGATCTTGTCTAGAGTCTATGAAGCTTGGCTCTATTCCTACACTGTCACGAAACGCCGTGGGTCCAAGCTAAACACCGCCATATCTCAGCAATCCCGTCCACAGATATGAAATACACCCCTTGAAACCCTTGTTTGGATCGATTCATTTTGGGCCCATATGCAGGGGGATTCAATATTACGGGGAACTTGTGTGGGCGTTTCTTAAGTAACAGTCTTTGGGGAGGGTCGCCAGAGTGGCAGGGTTTTTGGCAATTACATGTGGATGGGTCAACACCCACTGCATTAGCAGCTACTTTGGGGCTTCACCAGGGTACCTGATTTTTGAGCTACATGTTTTACCTATAGCATCCTATAGCCACATGATTGAGTTCTGAGGCCCCAACCAGCTGCCACGTCCAGGTCGTATTTATGGCCCCCCTTGGCTTCACATCGTTGGACAGCGCTGAGTGCGACCCAGGCCGAGGCTTGGGACCATGCAACATCCATTTGGGTCTGAAAAAGGGGGGTATACCCATAAGATGGTCATTTAATAGGGAGCATATGGGAAAATGGTTCACCAATGGATTTTAAAGGTACCCGATTTTCAGACACCCTTTTGGATGTAAAAACAGGGGTCTAATTCAGTACAATGGTGAATTGACCCATAGCCATAGAACGAATTACCACCAGTTACGGTCATTATCCCAAGCACATGAACGATCGTTGATGGTGGTCCCCGAGTAGTCAGAACGGGTAGCACCTCATACATATATTTATTAATACATACATGTAGAATACATTATAATACATATGATGTAGAATCTATATAGGAGAATACCGATGACAGTCTTCTATTTAGATATGGATGGATTCAATCCTCCAGAGATAGTCTCTTCTGAGCAGCAGGTCTTTTTTTCTTGTGATTTCAGTGCTGCAAATACGGTGATCGTTTATAAATGTACATGTTTTTAGAGGTCAGGATATTATCCGACTTGAGATACTTATAGACCATAGTAGGATAACTCATAGACACGTATCCGATTGATACTGCTAGACAATTATCTAACCATGGGAGATACTTATATATCCTCTTATAGATGTGTTAACACTTAAAGGGATTTGGACTGAAGTGTTTGAAGGTGTTAAGAGTTGAAATTGGGGATGTCGATCCTCTGATACCAGCTGATATCAACTGAAGGACTGAAGATTTTGCTGGAAATTGGATGAAGTTGTTCATGACATTGTGAATTTCATGCCCGTTTGTTTCAAACATTTTTTATGATTCCAACCTTACCTATGGTGTCCTATGATGATCCTAATTGACGAGCATATTCTGGTTCGAGTACCAGCTACCAACCAGATCATGGTTGATCAACATCCCCATTTTGCGTTGTGATATCCCCATTATCTCCCTATGTTTATAGCCCAATCATATTGGTTTGCCTGAAAATAGGCTAGCACCAAATCCCAGGGTTCATCAGCATTTTCTTATGTTCCCCGTTCCCCATTTTGATGACCACAACGTTGGTAAATCCTCCAGTTTTGGACAAACTGTATAGCTATCCCATCAAAAATCAGTTTTGGACAATCCCAAATCGTATGATGGCTGGAGATGCTTGGCAATACGTGATAATTGATAATATTCCTATCCCTTTTTGTGCCATTATTGATCATTATTGTCTATCCAAATCATCGGACAGACAGACTCAAAGTTTCCCGTGCCGTGCTGTGCGCTCAAGGACGCAGATGCTCGTTGGCCCTGCGCCTTGCCCAAAGCAGAAGAAGGCGTGATCAAAACGGGGGATGCCGGGATACTCCAACTGATCGCCATGAAACAACGATGGAAACTGAGGTCTTAAGCCTAGAAAGAATCTTAAAGATAAAGACTAGAAAAGAACTGCGAAAAATGATGATTTAGTCACAATGTTATTTTGTTGGTGAGATTACCTACAGGAACAAACCGAGGTTTCCCACGGCTAAGATGACCATCAAATGGTGCAGCATAGGGGATTCCCCTGTTGTAAGGGACACCAAGCAATTGTCTCACGGTGGCAGGCAGGTTCCTACTTGGTACATATATGTTCATATCCCCCAATGACTGTTGGTTGAATTCCCGGGGAATAAAGAATGAAAGATATGATTTGCCCGCAGAGGATGTTGGATTTTGGGCCTGATAATAACGCTTAAGTGGACCTCCTTCCATTTCGAATGTTGAAACCATGAACCTAGACTTGTTTGGTTTGGTTCCAAGTACATAATTATTTCCAGACGTTGATGTTAACCCGTTTCAGAAGAACAAACTCCTGGTTTAGGATGAATCAGCATGAGATGCATTCCTTGTGTGCTTCCATATCCTGTCGGATTATCAATTAGGGATGAGATTTTGCATAGGTAGGTACCCACTAAACATGTTCGCCCCAACCCGGACGTTGCTCCACACTTACAATCGTCATGATCATCATCATCACCATCATCATCATGATCATCATCATCATCATCATCATCATCATCATCATCATCATCACATCATCACATCATCACATCATCACATCATGATCATCATCACATAAACATTTGCCACCCTCTGCACAATATGTTGACTGGGATAAAAACATCAACTTTATCTTCATGAGGGGTCAAAATTCGCTACCCCCTCTGAACAATATGTTGGCTGGGGGAATTAACATCAACTATACAGTATCTCCATGAGGTATAACATTGCCACCCTCTACGAACAATATGTTGGTTGGGGTAGTAACATCAACTTTATCTTCATGAGGGATCAAAATTCGCCACTCCCTCTGAACAATATGTTGATTGGGGTAATAATATCAACTATATCTCCATGAGGGGTCAAAATTCGCCACCCCCTTTGAACAATATGTTGGTTGGGGTAATAACATCAACTTTATCTTCATGAGGGATCAAAATTCGCCACCCCCTATGAACAATATGTTGACTGGGGTGATAATATCAACTATATCTCCATGAGGGGTCAAAATTCGCCATCCCCTATGAACAATATGTTGGTTGGGGTGATAACATCAACTTTATCTTCATAGCCACCTGAAGTCAGACGCGTTGCAACGTCAGGGTTGCAGCGAGCATGTTTGCCAGTCGGTATCTTGGGCTACTTGGTGACTTGGGGACTTCAGCCCACTTAGTTCGCCGCAGGTGAAGCTTTCGTGGGCAAGGTGCTGCTGCAGCTTAGTGGTTTTGCAAGCTGTCAGCGTCGACATGTGCTGCGCTACCTGCTGCACTGCGGCCTCTTTCAGGTGGGATGTGACGACCAAATTCTGGGTGTACTGAATTGATATTTTATGATTTCGAACCATAGAATTTATCTAACAGATATCAGATACCTATCTACAAACAAAGATTACAAGAGCAAAACCAGCTGGCGCTGCGAAGCCAGCCAACCAATCGGCTATCCTATGCGGGTGAATCAGGTGTTCTTTTGGCTAAAGATTAAAACCTTGAATCAGCACCCTGTTCATGAATTAACAATCAGCTATGTGTAAAGCCATTGTGATTCCTGGATGCCAATAGTTGCTTACGAACCTATTGGGGTGGTCATTCCTAGTAGTAGGCCGGAAACAGGGAAAGGCATAAAATAATTAATCCTCGGAGTTCCTACACGGTCCCCATTACGAGCCATCATTGGCCAATTGTTATCAATAATTGGCTGGTTGGTGGTTTGGAACATGTCTTTTATTTTTGCATATATTGGGAAGAATCAGCCCAACTGACTTTTATATTTTTCAGAGGGGTTGAAACCACCAACTAGTCGATATATAATGGTATTGGTGGGTCCGAACCTTCACAACAACATCATGATAAGAATGGGTTAAATTGAAAAGACATGAAATGGAATTAAAAACCCATCTAACTCAAAGCAAGTGCATGACACTAGCATTAATGGAAATGAACCAAAAAATCATTTGATATCATCATCATCATCATCACCATCACCTTCACTAGTTTTGTTATGGATATTCACAGATGAGTAATGACTAGGATTATATGTACTACTGTGAATTGTAGTATTACTGCCACCATCCTCATTAGTTTTTTATTCCTTGCATAATCATCCCAACGCCAGGGCATCTTGGCATTCTTGACAGCAGCTGATGACATTCAAAGCCAGGGCGCTCGAAGTGGACGAGGCAATTCGTTAACTTTCCAGCAGATCTAAGGGGGGTGCAGTAACATGCAGTAACCATCAACATTGGGGATGTAATGGAATTTCTTAGGGATATCATGGGAATATATATGTACCCCACCACATGTATTTCGGGTGTCTACAAATTGGGGATACCCTAAAATGAAAATATTCGTCAGGAAAACTATGATCAAGCAGTAAATTTATGCCATTTTCAGACATCCATATGTATCCATATGTCACATAGCACAGCAAACGTGGAGTAGATGATTCGGACACCAGGAGGCTTGTGGTTTCATTTCCAGAACCCTATCTCAGCCTATCTCAAAAAAAAAACGTTCATGATTGAAGTCACCACATACTGTACATAGATTCGGGTTTTACAATTTATATAAGAGGCATTACCCAGATAAAATGTGTCAGATGGTGATCGCCCACAGGTGCTTAGCCCATTAATAAAAGGTGATCGCCCACTTTTGGATTCAACCCTGGTTTCATTTGGTAAACCTGCATGGTATTTTCAACCAGTTGTGATCTATTGGTAAAGAACTGGAAAAATATCAAATAACCATTGTTGAGTATGCCAGTATGCCACCATCCTCCCACGTTCACATCTCCCAAGTGCAGATAAGACACTCCCTATGATCCATGGTGATTGATCCATGGTCGCTTGCTGAGAGAGGTAGCGAAACATCATTTCATGGAAGTTTGAGACAGTTGGAGGACACAGCGGCCATGTCTCAACTAGGAGACAGCTAGTCACTAGTCAGAATGACCTGGTGATCAGAATGGTGACGGGAATAGTAATCTGAAGATCTTGATATTGCAAGTCCAGCCAGTTTTATGGTTAAATTTTGGGACGCTATGTACCCTTTTGCTGATTACCTTTTGCTATGCCATTTAAAAGGAAGCTGAAGATGATAGTACAATATTCTTCCAATTGTAGTCTCAGTGGTACTATTGCTGTAGTAAGTAGTGATACTGTACTGTGTATCGATACGTGTATATATATATATATGTACAATAATATATATATATATAGTATTTGATATGATGCATATGTATAATACATAGACATATTACTCATAATAGATGAATCACTTATTCCGGCCATTCAGTCTCTGGGTTTGATCCCATTTGGTGCAGGAGTTGGTTGCCACCTCTCCCCGTTGGGCCGCAGCGCGTCAGCTGCACCGTGGGGAAACTCGTTTTATGGACGACCTACACTTGGAGAAAACCACGAGGAAAACGGAGCATTTATGAACAAATTGCGGTATCATTTACATGTTTTTGGACATATGTACATATGTACACATATATATATATATATACAATGAGTATACTAGTATGTATTGTATCTAGATAGAAGACAATGCAACTTGATGCAAACCGAAGCACGAGTACGTACAAACAAGAAACGGATATTAATCTTATCGAGCAACACAGCGGAGATACTTTGCAGGCTGCCATGATCCCATCCACAGCAGAGCGTACCTGTTGTAAAACTGGGATTTGCCCACTCCAAATTCACATTTTTTTGAGAGGTTGACTCGGTTGCCAGATTTGCAGACAGAGTTCCTGGATTTCCCTGGAATCTTCATGAAGATTCAATCAACGCCCTCAGTCAGGTGACCCCCGGGATGATAGCTGGTGAATAAACCCTTGTAATCGTTATTATTGGTGGTTCATATGCCCATACAAGCCCTTAACAAATCTGGTTGGTGGTTTGGAACATTTTTTATGTTTCCATATATTGGGAATGTCATCATCCCAATTGACTAATATATTTTTAAGAGGGGTAGGTATACCACCAACCAGAAATCCTTAGCAATGTGGTGCACCCAATAACAATCCATCCCCAAAGTCACCATTTTTACTGGTTGTATTATAGAATATCCCCAAATGGGAGATGTTTTATTGGCGTTACCACAGGATTGATATTCTTTGACACCAAGGCGAAGTGTTGAGCCTTGATGGGAGCAGCGATGAGAGGTCCCATCCATGGACCCGGAGTGTACAGTCACTCAAACAATATGATAGATAATGATTAATGCAATAAATCTGTATGTTGTATATGTATACATATATCATCATAGATCTATGTATGTTTCTGTATGAGCATATACACCATGATTCCTATCCATCCAATGAGAATCGTTGGCTTGGGAATAGTCGGATCACTGGTATATCCTTGGAAAAGCCACCGACGATGATGATGGTTCCCATATGTTTTCTGTTGTATTTGTTCATGGACACATTGATACCTGGATGATCTACAGGATGATGGAAAGTTAGTTGTAGTGCAGAGGGGATCCTGAGCCGTGCAAGATGTTTTGGGTGATGATTTGCAGTGCATCATTGGATGGACCATGATGGACACCATGATCCCTATCAAGCACCAGATATTGGTCCTGTGTACCTGCACAACAGAGTGTATTGGATTGGGCCAATCATGTTAGGATCCATAGTTGCCAATCACTTGGTATATTTAGCAATGCAATACTCTTGGCATTTGTATTTGGGGTTGTAAGTAACCATAAGTAACCTTGACATTCCCCGACCAAAGTTACAGTCTATAGTCATCTATAGTCTATACTTATGTAAACTTGGAGACTAGATATAGATAAGTATAGACTATAGATATATAGCTTATAGGTTATTAAAATATAAACCCAACTGCCCAGCCGGTTCCATGGTGTCCCGCTGGTGTCCCCTTCCCGGAGCTGCCGGAGGTCCACCGGGAAGACCCGCTTCCGGGCCTCCTGTGTGCGAGATGGTCAGCACAAAGGCACTGGGTCTGTCTGAAAATGGGTTATATCCCCGCCAATAATGGTGAATTAATAGGATTTAATAGGGAATATGAATGAATTTGATTATATATATATAATAGTTAGTCAATGGAATATAATTACCCTATGTTCAGACAAAGCCAATTTGTTTTGAGAAAAGTAGCCATACATAACCATACAGAATCTGGAACATCATGAAATGTGAAGAAATGTCGTGGACATCCAGAAAATGAGCCCAACCGCAATGGCCTGGGAGGTTTTCGCTCCCAAGACGCCATGGCAGCAATGGGTGCTGGAGCGATGGTGGCCAATGAAGACTTGGAGATTGAGACTTGGACATTCTGACTGGGTCAGTCATAGTTTTTTGATGGTTTAATGATGGTGTTTTTTCTTTTTCACTGGATTGGTTGAAGTGAAGATCTACAGGAAAACATGATGAAATCATGGTTTTTCATAGGTTTTTTCTCATCAAATATAGGGTTCCCTCTGAATGTTCCCTAAAACCAAACCCGATATTGTTTGCCATGTGTGAATGGTAGGTGGTTGCAACATTTTATCATTGGAACTAGCACTAGATGATCGCACACAGGCAGTGGATCTAACACCCGAAAAAGCATGTATAGATATTATAACTTATAACATATAACCACTCAGTTGTCAGCCACCCGTGCTATTTGCCTCCACGGGTTGGTAAACGTTTCAAGCTTTGGTGGTTTCAATCATCGCAGCCGAGGATCTCTACGGATACGAGTTGGACTCTTGGAGGTCTACAACATGGCATAATTGATATTGTCTCTAACCTCTGCCTCTGCATAGGAATCTACAGTTACCCTCCGTAGGTCAATCAAATCAGGCCGAATGAATGGGTGCATAACCCCAATCAGCCACCGGTCTCCCGGTATGCACCTGACAGATCCTTACGGTTCTTACACTGTCAATTCACCAATATCTGTTCTGAAGTCTCTTCTAATGTAGGTGAAACAAATTTGATCCAATAGGTCTAGAAAGCAAACAAATTCTGACCAAATCCTTTCTTATTCCCTTGTAGAACCACATTGAGCCGAGGAAATGGGTTTGGAAAATGAGTTGTATGGGAGCTACGGAGCTCAGTTTAACTGAAGGAAGGTTCGAACAAACCTGCGTTACTGAGGGTTTATTTTGCGCCATAAATCCACAATACCTATCACTAGCATTTTTGTATGACCCAAACAAATCATATCAAATCCATACTTGTTCCACCAAGCTTTGTTCGGTATGTACCCGTACCCGTACCAGTCTACCTGTTTGTCAGTCTTCAAAGTGGTAGACATCACCAAGGAAGTCTTCGGTTTTCTGAGTGGCCAGCTGTTTGCTTGTGGACTTTGGCTGGGCGAAGAATGGCGAGCACCTGGGTTTCAACCGTGGTCTGGTCCAGTGGTGTATACCATGAACGAGTTGTTTTGGAGACCTTTGACAAGCAAAGTGCAAAGTAAGTGAAGTACATGGAAGTATGGTAGTACGTAGTTGAAGAAGCCCTTGCCCTTGGACGCGACTCGCTCCAAGAACCCGCATAGCTGTGATGGAACCTTAGGAAGCCAGCGACATCAGACCTAAAAGAGGTATCACCATCCTCCGCAACCCATCCCAACCATGAGAGAAGCGATGAGAAGCCGGGGACATGGTCTCCCAGTGGCAAAAGCCAAACATAGCTGAACCATGTTTTTGTTGGGACAAGTCCAAACTGCATATTGAAAAAAATGCAAAGTAACAAACATCTTTTGCAACTCAGTTTCCCGAAGTCTCCGAGCTTTTTACGAGCCAGGAGAGGAACATGTCTCGCCGGCAAAGCAGTCCTTTCTCCAAGCTGGCAAAACAGTACATTGAAGCATATACTGAATCAGTATTTATTAAGATTTATTAAGTAATATTAAGTATATATCAGCGTCATCAGTATATTCGTATTTCTTGCCCTGAATCCCATGTGTGCATTTTGCGCAACAGCATGCAAGAGCTGATTACAAATTTGTTGTGCTCCTGTTATTTTGCAGATATGATTTGTTTGCATGGTTACTATACAATCTATACACTTGGATACATTGCATTGGAAGCCGGATCCTGATTGATTGTGTATCCAGAATCCAAACCATTGATGCTTGCTGCAACCACTTGCTAGGTTCCATAAGAACTGCTTTCACTGTGATGTCTGAGTTTTCACAGGGGTTTCCAAACTCTTCCTGCAACTGCCAAAGTTGATGTTTTTCAACGGTTTCTTTATTGTCCATCCTCACAAAAGGGGTGATCACTCCAACATATCCCAACTGAATGCAGGTGAACCCTCGTGGCGAGATTTATGGTGGAGCTGAGCGGAACTTTCATTGCGTTCCTGTCGGAGAAACTTTCCGTGACAAATTGCAGTAGCTGGGTGCAGCTGTCATCAGCTGTCCTTAATATTTTCATATTTTTTTCTAATGATTGTTGCTGTCTGATTCGTAAAGTGGCGTAAATCTTTGTCAAATCTAAGTTTTCGCGCGATATATGTATACTTTAATCGTACTCACTTTGTTTGACTAATGCAGTGTATGGTGTCAAAGTTTTCCATGTGTTTTGTCCACTGTGAGTCCATGGATCATAGGTAAACCTGATGTGTTAACGCTGCAGTGAGTGCGTCAGCACCATGCGATTTTGGAGGGATTGAAGGGACTTTGGGGCCATATCTTGGCGCCATAGTCATTACTTGGGATCAAATGTATACTGTATATACTGTATGCGATTCTCTCTGAAAAACTGTTTGGTTGGCACAAAGCGGCAAGATTTGCTACATATCCCGGGGGAATTGGACCCAGTTGGACCCAGGGTGATGCCAGGACAAAAATGTGGTACCGTAATGTACCGTACCAACGGAGGCGCAATATTTGTCATGCTCTTAATGTTGGATCATGTTGGATCAAAAGCAAAATGGATTAAACAGCTTCGAAACTAAAGGACCCAGCTATGCATAGATCCTGCCATGGGAGTATCATCCCAATATCGGTGCACTATAGCCCAATATCATTGCAATATCATCCGAAAGTACGTATTTGATGTGATGTCTTGTCTTGCACATTGCATATTGCGTATTGCATTTTGTGTATTCTGTACTGTGTACTGTGCACTGTGTATTGTGTATATTGTATTGTATGTATAATGCAGGTATTCAGAATCTATGTATATTATATAGTTTAATCGTATACATATGTATATATATATACTGAACATACATTATACATTGATAGAACATGTACTTGTGCATGTCTATATATATATACACATATGACACAATATGCATATGTACATATATGCATATATGTATGTAATATATATATATCACTGCACTGCTTCATGAACTCTCCTCGCTGTTGTTGCCTTCCATCCCACAGTGACAGCGGCGCCCAGGATCGACGGGCCTACCTGCCGCACGACGTACGCAACCTGCCGCGCCTGCGGCCCTCGACTGCGCTGCTGATGCTGAACATGGCGGGGCCACGTGACTTGTCCAGCTACCCAACACCACATGTCGAGTAGGCGTAGGCACGACATCATACTAACTCTGATTGTGTAAAATGTGTTGAAATGCGACTATAGGTATGTATTCGTTTGGTCCAGAAATGTCCCAGAAGCAACCGCATATTTGTAATTGCATGACATGCGGAAAACAAAAAACAAATCTGACAAGCATGGGGTCTTGGACATCCATCGTTATCACTTCAAAGTCACTGGTTTCATGATATTTGGTGGATTGTTGATATACGCCAACCTTAGAACATGCTGGAAGAGGTGTTCCTTTATCCATCGAAAGTCTAAGACAGGGATGGATTCTTTGCAAACTTTCGACCCAGAAGTCTAGATCCGGAATAAATGGTGATAGATGACAACAGGTCAATAGGCGGATAGACAGATCTCAAATCAAAATCACACAGCACGACCAATAGAAAGATAGAGAAACAGTGAGAAACAAATCTTCCGTTTGGGCCTCGAGCACAATACTTACAGTGCTCCGCAAACATGCGGAAGTCCACACCTCTAGTAAACATAGTAAACCTCGTGATACCTGTTACCTCGCGTATCGCTGTCTACCTGCGTTCCACCTACGCACACATGGCAACCTATACGCCGAGAAAACCACTATCTCCTCTTACACCTCGCGACTGTCAAGACAAGCAAATAGTTTACGCATCTTGCGGACTCTCGGTGCAAACACGAAATCAGGCGATACCCAGAGAAAACTGTACATTACCTGATAATGCTCAGATGCAGAAGCGAAATCACATGCAGCCTTATTCCAGCATTCCATTCATATCCAATGAATGAGATTGCTGTATCATCTGTATCATCACCCATAGGATCCATGTATGCTATATAATATATGGTAACATTTACCATCAATATACCCCTAATGTTGGCATATATACCATACATGGATCCTATGGGTCATAGTACATTGGCGTGCATCTTGCAGTGTTTTTTTACCGCTTTAGCAAAGTCTTTGCGAGGACCGGGCGAATTGCTTCTGGATCCCTTTGGAGGCAACAAAAAGGGGTCCCAACTAGAGGCTCATTGGTGGTGTAAAAGAAAATTTGAGTTTTTTTAAGTTTCTTTCTCTAATTTGGAATTACTGGAATTATTCATTCACTACTAGTAGAACGAACACTTTTTACTATGGTGAAACGGTGAACGCAGTAGATGATTTCGCTCGTGGACTATTTATGGTGAAAGAAATTCAATCCAAATTGATGGGTCTGATGGCCTATACATGGAATCGTATTTGGGAGGGACAAACATATATATTATATTATAGTTATAGTATAGTTATATTATATATACAACTCTATACATATGTATATATATATATATATACAAACATTGACAACCTTTGATATTTCCCCGGGGAAACGATGGGTGAACGCTGCAGGGGTGGGCACCATTGCGGTGGAAGCTGCGTGCCGCTTTCCGGCGTTGCTGTGCATCTCCTCGGACAAGGTGTGGGATGTTCCCATTGGGGGGATTTCATTTATGGGACTATCCCTTGATAAAGTTTCTGGTGATTTTCCCATTAAAAAAGATGATAGGGGTGATTTTTTATAGGTGATTTTCCCATGATTCTAGGGGACTTATGATATTTATATATATTTATGGTGATAATAGGTGATTTCCATTGATGCTCGCGTTATCATGGAATAAAATCGGGTATAAAAATAGGGGGATCATCCATTTAGTTCGGGGATGTCACAGGCACGGTTGATGACCGGAGAGTAAATGCACTTTACTGTAGTACTTGGATCTTTGCTATCAATGGTAAAATGATGTAAAATGTAGGAACCAGCTAAAAATTAGACTTTTTGGTAGGTATCTAAGGTTCACCATGAAATGTGAAACACATTGAAACACGTCGAAAAAATATGTTTAATCCATTTGGATCCATTTGGTGCTAAAGTCAAACTACTGCAAACATATGGTGAAGTGGATTGAAATGGAATGTTTGAATCACATGTGCTGTACATCTTTCTTGGTGCAACCAGCCAGTCAAATGAGCAATGCACACCGTGCTCGGCAGGATCCAAGTGCTTGTCACACTGCAGCAATGCATTGTCAGTTGGCAAAGAAAATGGGTAGACTACAGCCAGGCGCTGGCGGACAACCTTTGCACAGTAGTAATAGTAGGATGATCCGTGAAGTCATACGTGAAGGTAAATATGATGGAACATGCTTCCCTCGGGAAAAAAACCGAGGGGGGCGGCTATTTGTATATTAGACCCCCCTAGGTCCAAAAACAAGCACGCACGGACTTACTATATATTTTAGGGGGGTCGAAAGTCCGTAATAAATACGTCACCCCGTACCCCCCTATTCCCCCCCGTACTCTACGGATAGGGGGGGAGAGGTAAAAATAGTTACATAAATGTCCGCAAGCAGTTTGTAAACTTCTTGTGAGGTGTCTTTGTGGGGATGTAATCAACCTATGTCTGAGGTCAATAGTTCCTTGCAGAAAATCAGAAAGTGCTCGAAAAAGAAGGTAAAGCTAAGATGGAAAAATGTAACCATCCTGCACCTGAGGCCTATAATTCCTTGCAGAAAGTGCTTAAAAAAGAAGGTAAAGATAAGATAGAAAAAAACACCATCCTACACATAAGGTCCATAGTTCCTTGCAGAAAGTGCAAGAAGGTAAAGCTAAGATAGAAAAATGTAACCATCCTACACCTGAGGCCTACTATTCCTTGTAGAAAGTGCTCAAAATAGAGGGTAAAGATAAGATAGAATCAACATGACACATGTCTAGATTGTTATTGTATTATGGTTGGAGGGTCACAAGGGGGGCTAGATAGGAACTGTGGCAGAAGGGTGTTTAAGTTCGATCATGTAGATACATAAAGGGGTTTACCATGGGGACCCCATAAAGGTTCATTTGAGGTCCAGTTGAGGTCCATTTGAGATCTTTATTTGTATTCTATTGTTTTCCCATACATAGGAGGTAATTTTGAAGACCTTCAACATCTCATTTTACAGTTTTTTGAAGTTCAAGGGTTGTCCAGTAGTTTGCAAGGAATCATTTACTGTACCTCCTATACCTCTATGTTACATGTGGAAATGATTAAAAAAGTTTTGAAAATGTGTAGAATGTATTGGAAATACCAAGCAGTTCGAGGTCCTACGAACTTTTAATTGACATTTGTGTTTTTCTGCAATTCTGCAGCTATTTGCAGACCTTTAGACTATCATTTTACATTTGTTTACCTTCTTACATGTTTTTTTCAAAAGTGCAAGCTTACATTTTGAACGCCCCCCTAGGTTTTTTAGGACATTGAAAAAGGCGGGGAACTATATACTAAAATGAACATGTGCAATTAAACGTACTTTGAACACAAAAAATGAAAGTTATATAATAATTATTATGTCCCCTCCCTTAAATACGTCTAAAATGTAGCTTACGTTTAGGGTACGTCCCCCTATCTTAAAAGGGTAGTGATGTTATACATACCCTTGGGTAATCGAATGTAGCCATGAAAATGGTCCGTTAATAGACTATTGTAAATGTCAAGGCCTTCATCCAGGTTGAGCATGGTGATTGTCCAACGTGCAATCTCTCAGAATCATTGAGACTGCAAATATGGTGTTTAATATTGTTTAATGGTGCTTAATCCATGGTGTTTTTGTACGAAAAAATACCTGATGAATTTGTTGGTGTCGTTGGTGCCCCGTTTAGGAGCTGGAACCACCAAAATTGTTTTCTCCGTGGCAGCAGGTTCTAGACTGGAAACCAGAAAGTGGGATGCACGGAAGTTGAAGTTGGAAGCTTGGTTCTGATTATACCACCTGAAGAGAGCCGAAGTGATTGTGATATAGTGTGATAGATATATTGTGATATGCGCGCATGTTTGAAATGTATTGAAATATATGTTGTGCACATTTTACAAAGTTACTATGCCTTTTTTAATATACAATTTCCAGTACACTGATGTCATTCATCATTCAGTAGCAGCTTCTTTGATCGACTAAAGGTCAAGGGCTTGTGCAAAAATCTGCCGAAACTTTTAACCACCGCAAAAAAATCAGAGCCTCTGCTTCAGAGCCTCTGCTGGGGTCACAGGAAGATCGCTCCGTGGACCTCATAGTGAGCGATTTGCCCTTCCTGAATCGCTGTGATTTTGATTTTGATTCAGGCACAAAGTGGCGAAGGGGGCCATGGGAAATCTAAGCTGATTTTCCTGGTCATGTCAGGCTTCATTTTCGAGTTTGAAGGTTTTAAGTCATTATGATTATTATGTTAAATAAAAAACGGGCGTGTGATAAACAGATATAAACAGATCAAGGTATGTTAATAATGACTTAAAAGTAGGGAGCTCCTGCTTCTTCCAACAGTTCGCATGGCACCCAGTTCGATTCATGATCAAAGGCTTGGCAGGCGGCTTGAAGCTTCAAATGCGGCAAAGGTCGGTGTTCAACATCCTTACTATCAAACATTGCCATATTA